TCACTATTTGACTATCTAGAAGCACTCTGATCAAATGCTTCTGAGATGTCTACGAAATCATCTGCAATTTAACATTATTAAATATTTCATAAATTTTGATATCGGTATTTCGTAACCTCTTGAGGCCTAATATGCGGAGGGCTTAGATTTGATTAATTATAGTGAACACTATTTTTGCCAGTGATCTTCATTTCACTCTATATTTAGAAACTTTCCTCTGAGGTACACCGTTGCTGTTTGTGGTCTTTTTGAAAGCCTTATAACTCTAAACAATGGAGACTTGTTAAGCCCATAACAAACAAATTTGGTAGTATATGAAAACTTAACAAACATTCTTACTTCGTATAGCTTCAACGAGACATATGAGTGGAAAGGATATTTCGGAGTACATGTATGATGTAGCCTAATATGTGGATAATCTTATTTTGGTTCAGTATGGACAGGTTGAGTTATAAGAACTTAGAGAACTAATGCATCCTGCGGAATCACCTCCGAAAATTTTAGCCACTGTTTCCAACATTTTCAAGTGTCCTAGTTTTATCGCATCTTATTGCTAAGCTTTCCGTCATTTATCGAATCATTTGATCCATAATAATATTATGATTACAGATTTATCAAGGCCAAAGGAGAAGCGTCCCTCCTAATTAATTTAAATCAAATTTTCGATATTGCATATGCATTAATAGTCAAGACCAAATGTGGGTTTAGATATGAACTTATAGACCATATTCCTAAACTTTACGGTGCTGAAAATACATTTCTTTTTAAGGCATGACCTCTCTGAACCCCTATCTACTTTTTCTATTAAACGTGTAGTCAATGCCATTTTTTCGTAGATTTGAAGACCAAGATAGTCTGGCCTCCTGTTTGGTCGCAGTCTCCTTTAGCTCTATAGTGTTGGTTCGACCTTATTTTCGTAGCCTAGTCGGAGCGTCAGGAAGACCGTGTGGAGTGTGCCTACTTCCGTGTCCTCTGCCATAGTATTCGTGATTCCCAGCATTGGACCTTTGGCTGGGTACATTCCAAACGTTTCGCTGGAATTGTAGTCTGCATCGTCAATGAGAGGTGCCATCTTAAGCCACTTATCTTGTCACTGATAATTTGTATCTCTGTGCTTACGCTCGACAAGGTCATCCTGAAGCTCCGACAAAGTTGCCAAAGCAAGGTCGAACCAACACTACAATGCCATTTTTTATAGAATAGGAGCGATATCATATTTACCGATGGATTTCATTAATAAAAAAACGGAACCAGATACAACATTTACTCCAGCTTATAATATTAATAGTCTGCCGAAGAAAGTTTATTGAAGATTAACTTAGTTTAGTTTTGCTGATAACTGGTAAATCTACATTTTATAGAATGAGATTAAGATTAACCCTGCCCAACTCAATTGATCTTAACAAAATGAATAAATGTCATCTGGGCATAGCTTTTCTTAAATTTAGCCAGTATACCCAAAAAGGATTTGTTGCTGAATACGCTTTTTCTTATGCAAACTTATTTCAGATACTAAAATCTAATTTATTTTTATGTATGAAAAAGCTTCTTTACTTCTTTACTTGAATATTTGAATGTGCCATTTACGTAGGATTATTTAGGACGCAATTTAAGCGAAGCTCGCAAAAAGATTTTCCACTTTTGCTAAAGAGCTGCTCAACATTAGTTTGCTTTATTTCGGCCAGATAATGCTTTAATTCAATTTATCTTAGCATTGCTTTATCCTCGGGCACCTATCAATCGACTGGAATAACACACCATAATAGTCTTCTGGTGAATGTGACGAAGTTTCGAAAACGAGGCTGAACCGAGCCACGCACAAGCTACGCCATACTGGTATTAATATCTTTTAGCTTTAAGGCTAGTCTGTTATGGATTATCCTTGAGCTTATATAAGCCATTATACATAGCTTTCATTAGATCATTAATTTTTTAAAAGCTGGTACGCCCGACAACTGACACTGATTTAATCTCACTCCGTTATGAATTAGATGAAATCATCTGTAACTAGTACATATCGAAATCCCATTCCTATTTTGACGTATCTTGCGACAAGAATTACTGACAAAAGTTCCTTTACTATTAATTAGCCCTTCTTTTTGCAGGTTAGAGTACCAAATTTGATAACCTAAATATATTAGCCATCTTTCAGACAATCCTAAAAGCTATTATTTTATATTTTCGTAAAATAATTTTGTCCTGCATACTTAAGTTCTTTAACATCATTTCATATGTCTTTATTCTTATCCTTTTTTCACAGGCTCTCATCATCATATGCGACGCCTGTGACAAAGGTTTTCATTCCTCCTGTCATGTTCCACTTGTTCTTGAACCTGTGGATCATAATTTACCTTGGGTATGTTCTGCCTGTCATGCTGAAGGTTATAGAGTTGCCTTAACTGCATCAGAAGTTACACATGATGATACTCCTGGTGACCAGGAGCCACTAAAAAGTTCCAATACAAGTTCTCTCTCTAGTCATAAACAGGATATAAAAGGAACGGAGGAACCTGACCAAAAAAATCTATGTGTCGCTGACAGCTCTCGGTCGCAGGTCGATGACGTCGAGGCTATACTTTGTATGCATGGAAGAACCGACATTGGGGCACGAGAAGCAATGAAACGAAAATCGGATTGTCCTCAATCTTCTTCGTTGGCATCGAATTCGCTTAAGAGATCAAAAGCTGCTGGCTCTCCATCTTCCACACTTGCCTCATCAATTGAAAGCCCAAACTCTTGTAAGGTTTTATGGAGTCCAGATAAAATGAGTTTAGATGATAAGAGTGTTGATAACGGCCCCGAAGCTCTATGTCGCAATGAGGAAAAAGAAAATCATGCACTTCTAAGCCTTATTGACAATTCTGCAAAGGTTAATGCATCTACTATACCTGAGCTAGTTACCATCCCTTCCTCACAACTTTCACCTAATCCTCTTCGACAAAGATCCATCACTTCAACTGTCGTCCCTGGTATGAATCCTAATGAATATCCAGCAAATGATAAGGGGAAGACGGATAGTCGTGAAGTAGATTCAACGCTTGTGTCTGACACTATCATAAATAGCGACAACAAATCTTCACCTTTGGGATTGGGAAAAAAGCAGAACCGCGAACAGATGTGGTAAGTTACAAACTGGCAAATGAAGATCTTATACTAGTAGGGAGCGGTTTAGCTATAATTAGGAAATTGCATTTTAATGCACTTAATAAGTTTTGAACCACGTTTACCTGATAGATCAATACAAAGGTTTATATTTGACATAAGAACGATGCATTCCTGTTAAAGGCATCCATAATATGAATTGTAATTCTATCTTTGGCATAGCTTTTGTAAAAACTAAAAGTTTCTACCTTTGCTCGAATGAGGTAATATGACATTTACTAGGCTCTAAGATTATCAGCAGCTCCTAAATAGTAGCTGTACTCGCTTTAGGTCGCATAAGATTTTACTGCTTCAAAGAAGGACATGAACTGTCTCTAATATACTGAATACTTGCACTCGACATCTGCAAATTTGATGGCTACGAAACGAAGAGAGAATAAAAAAATAGTATTACCAAGTTTCCTATTTAGAAACGGTTGTCAATAGAAAGACAATCATTAAAAGGTGGCTCGAAATAGAAAAGTCTGAATTCCGCGAGTCACTGTGGAGGGGGGAAATAGAAGGAAAAAAATGTGACTTACCTAAACAGTATGTCAACTATTTCATATAGCATTGCGTAGTTTTCCATATAAACTTCTAATTGGACGATGCTTTGATTAGTTGACGCGAAATAATGAGTGAAAATTAGTCACGTATTCACGTGGTCCCTGCGCCCAAGGCTGTTGAACCATAGCTACGAATGGGATGTAACAAAACTAAGCATTGAATAGGAAAATTTAGGGATTGGTCCCTACATGATGATGCAGGACTAGTGGTTGAATTGATATGAGTGGGAAAATGCAGCTTAAAATGTGTTAAAGTTCAAACGCTGGCTTGCGGATTAATTAAATTTAAACTTTAGAGTTAAGCGATTTGTTTTTATTCCAAATCTATACAGCTATCCCTTAAATGAATGCGCGCCACAATCTTCTGAAAGTAAAAACATTCTTATTACTGAATATTTCAATTATCTCTAATTGAACTATGCCTTTATTTTATGACTTTCCGTTAATATGAAAATTTAATCTACATTTAGTCAATCGATTAGGGACATTTATTTCTTACCCATAATTTCTTGCATAAATTGGACCTCTGCAATTCTCGTAAACGTTAGCTAATAAGTGACCTCGGAATGCGTCGTGTGCTTTGCTGTTTTATCATTCCATGTTTATTTTTGTAAAATAAAGTTACTCATTTTGGGAAATAAAAATCTTTACTTCCATATATTGCACAGCTACCCTCGGACTCCCATACTATTGAACAAAAGCCCGAATATCGGTCTCCCCTTCGAAGAATCTTTCACAAAATTGACCTCATCTCACGGAGTCCAGTCTTCAGACAAATTTGCTCTTACAAAATTAGCCAGTGACAATTCACATGGAAATGAGTATGATAGATCCGATTATCTCCAGTGTAGCGGGCTACAACCAAGCGCCACAAGCATTCGTATCACAGCTTCATCTACCAATTGTACAGCCACCGCTACTACCGTCAGTTCCAGCACCACCGTCACAACCACCGTTTCTTCTGACGACTTTGGTTGTTCTCTCGTTTCTACAGACATTCCCTCATTGCCGGCAGCTAGTATCGTAAGCATGGCTTCTTCTACACTCGGTTTCGACTCTACTCAGGAAGAGACAACTGTTCGGCTTTGGAGCGTAGATCAAGTACATTCTTGGCTTCTACATCAGGGCTTTACTCGAGAGGCGGAGGCCTTCCAACAGCAAGAAATCGATGGT